AGGCGCCGAGCCAATGTGGACAATTTCAATCATACTATCTCTTTATCTGCTTTGTGTACCTCTTCTTTGTAGTATAATATTCCTTGGCTATTCCTTTCAGACATTTCTTTTCATCATCACGAGTCAGAGAGGCTGTCTCAACTCTCCCACCAATTGATTCTGACATTTCAAATAAAAGTTGTTTACAATAATCATTCTTGTTTCTTGGCTCTGAGGCCCTAGGAATTATAGAGAGCATGTTCCCCTCTCCTTTCCCCTCTCACCTTGTAAGTGTAAACTTCTTAATTAATGACACTTAAATGATTTGCTCGCCTTTTCTCTTAAATTTCTTATAGAAATAGGTTCTAACTTCCACTTACATATTTACCATATAGTATATGCTAAATTACCTATATTTGATACTCTCAACAATATAACTAGATAAGTAGTTTATCCCCCATTTTATAGATGAAGAAAATAAGAATCAAAGATTAGATGTTATTTTCCTCAAATATATCATAAGTAAATTGCCCAGCTGGCTCTGCAACTCAAGGCCACCTGATTCTAAAGCCTTGCTACTGCTTCTGTTTCACATTGTTAAAGGAAAAACTTTAGGCCAATTTAACAGTTTATTTGAGCAAAGAGCAATTCATGAATCGGCAGCATTCAAAGCTGAAAGACGTACACTGTAGCAGCACTGCCAGGAGCCTTTATAGGCTGAACTTGGAAACAAAACAGAGGAATCACCTGACTTGCTATAGCTGTGCATTTGCTTATTTGGATATGGTCTTATGGGAAGTCCCTAGTTATGTAACCAATTGGCTGGTTGGCTATTTGTGATTGGCTGAGGCTTGTTTTTCAGTTTTCAAGTTAGTTACAAGAAATATTTCCAACTTAAGTTACAGTTTGTTTACTGAGACAACCTCAGGCTAATGGCTTCCTTATTTGAACAACATTACATCAGACTCTTGGGAAGATAACACGATTTTTTAAACAAGCTAATATTTCATATCTGTGTATTTTACAGACGTTTGAAAAGGAGAAAAAATGAATAATTTTTAAAACAGTCTTATGAATGACTTCCCTTATGCAGGAAAGAACTTGTCCTGTGTCATTAGCCGTATATGCGTATCTTTATGCCTCAGTTGCAGTTTGGATACTCTTTGATCCTATGTTCTCAACGTTATTAAGTAAAGACTTGAACGGTTGTGATAGTTAATTTTCTGTATAAGCTTGACAGGGCCATGGAGTTCTTGGTCAAACATGTTGTATGGTAATATTTCTGAATGAGATTAACATTTGAGTCAGTAGACTGAGTGAAGCAGATTGTTCTCCTGTATGAAATGGCTCACCCAGTCAGCTGAAGGCCTGAATAGAATATGAAAAGGCCAGGTAAGGGGGACCTTCTCCCCACTGAGCTGAGACCCCAGACCAGTGTCCCAGCTTGAAGATGGGCAGAAATACTCAGTCTTCTATTCTGCTGAGGCCTTTAAAAGATTGGCTGAGGCTCACTCACATTGGGGAGAGAACTCTGCTTCACTCAGTCTACCAATTCAAATGTTAATCTCATCCAGAAATAAGGTTTAACCAAATATCTGGGGATTTTGTGGCCCAGTCAAGTTGCACATAAAATTAACCATTATGTCACATGTAGCTGACCACTTACAGGTAACTAGAGCAACCAAGGACCTGAGTTTTTAACTGTATTTAATTATAAGTAATTTAAATTGGAATAGCTACACATGACACTCATGGTTACTGTATTTAACAGCACAGCATTAGATAGTTTTAGTCCTAGAATGGAGCTTTGATTGATACTGTAGGACCATTCAGAATACTTTTCCAGTATGTGGCTCTGACCTGGGCCCCTTGGAACACTTGCTTTGAGAGAACCAAGCTACCATGCTAGAATTCCAGCTACCCTGAGACTGCTGTGCTATGATAAAAAAGAATAAGCTAGCTACATGGTGAGCGTGCATCAAGGAAGAGAGAGGGCTAGCCCGTCTCTTCTCATCATCCCAGCTGAAGCAAAAATAAGAATAAAGAAATCATTTTTGACCTGTAACACACTCAGACCTCCAGATGACTTCAGTCCCAGCTACTGTGTGACTGTAGCCACATGAAATCTCCCAAGCCTGATGCTCCAGCTAAACCCACAGAACCATAAGAGATAATAAATTGTTGTCTTAAGTCACTAAGTTCTGCAATAATTTTGCAAACCTGAACAGAAGCCACTAAGTTCAGGAGTGATCTCAAAAACAATCGATAACCAGAATAGAAATGTACAGGCAATCCAAGTTTCCTATTTGGCCCCTATAGTGCCCAGTCTTCCTTTTCCTTTTTGTTTTCTTTCTTGCTTTTGATGGTACAGCTTTAATACTGAGTGTCCATAAAGTTTGTGTGGAATTTAAAATAGTGTGGAAACACAGACTCTATGGACACCCTGTATTTGGAGCTGAACTTGGACTTCAGGAAATTACAATTATCTGACTTTCAACTGTCTTGGATTCCTGTTTGAAAAGCTTTTTTTAACAAAGTTATGTGCTTTTTTTCTTATTTCAAATAAGCCAACTTGGACGAGTGCTTCATTTTTTCTTTTTTACTAAAGGCCATAACTAATTAATACAATGCAAAACTTTGCTTTTTCTCAACCACTTCTCCTGTAAAAGTCTAACCTTAGGGGGCCTATTGTCTGTGTCCAAGATCAGCATTTTAATAGCTGCTTTGCTCCCAGAAGAAAATGGATGCGAGAAGAAGGGGGGAGTGTATTGGGCATATACTCAAATAATAACTACTGTGGGAACAACACCATTTGTTTGTAATAGTAAGACTAGTCTTACAGTGAGATCCTCTATACACTATACAACTTGTAAATTTTGCTGTTTAGCCCAGTTATATAGCTTTGAGCATAAGCCCATAAGAATTACACTTTTTATTCCAAAGAGTTCAACATTTCTGAAAATTCAAAAGGAATTTATTATTAAATGTCATAAAAACAAATGTGTAGAGCAAAGTTTTCTATCATATGATTGTTCTTAGCATTTTTTGTATAATTGCCTTTGAGGAAAAATTTCCTTAGGTCTGTACTATATGAGCGATTTTTTTTTTTCATTCTAGTTCAAGGACACGGAATTGGCTATGGATAATTCATATGATTTCCATCAGCGAAACTCATGTAATGGAATTTCGTCTGAGAAGAAAAACAACTTCCTTGTATCAGAAGATCATGGACAGAAAATCTTAAGTATACTACAGAATTTTAGAGAACAGAATGTCTTTTATGATTTCAAAATAATCATGAGTGATGAGATAATCCCGTGTCACCGCTGTGTGCTGGCAGCCTGCAGTGACTTCTTCAGGTACCTGCAGCCTTGTCTGGGCCTCCAACTTTATCATATGGGTGATTCAGTTATGTATTAGAACTACACTCAGTTTCCACCCACAGGAACATGCAAGGGTAATTTTTAAAAAAATACTAATTAGAAGGGCGGCGTCTGTGGCTCAAAAGAGTAGGGCACTGGCCCCATATACTGGAGGTGGCAGGTTCAAACCCAGCCCCAGCCAAAAAAAAAATAGAATCATGATTAACTAGTAAATTTTGAGTAGGAGAATTTAAGATTATCTTTTAAAAATACTATCTTATTTTATAGCACAGGTCTTCCCAAGCCAGCATTTCCCAAAGTTCTATGAAATATTATTCCTTTAAAATGTTCTGGAGAATTTTTTTTTTTTAATCAAGGTCAGTTTATTTGGAGGATCCCTGTACTGTATTATTTTAGAAAAAGAGGACAGGACAAGCTGAACAAAAATGGAAGCAACTTCAAAGAAAATGACTCTGAGGAAGATGTCCCAGACCTGCATTGTGTCCACGCGTTGGCCAGAGGTGGGCGTGCGCAGGGGCTCTAACCCAGAGGATTTAAACGTTTCTTTACTCTTTGGCAAAGACTTTCCTACATTCAGGAAAAGTACTTCTTAAGCTAAAAAGCATTTCTTGGGAGCACCCAACTTGTTATCACCCAAGCAACTTTCTGAATATAATTTGGGTTTCCTGTGTAGATCACACATAAGGGAGTGTCCAGTCACGACACAGCAATAAAATACTGATTCTGTGAAGTGAAAGGTCAGACACATGACCTTCCAATTGTAATAATCATATCAAGGTAATACTATCAATAGACAGGCCAGCCTTTCTTGGTGACATCCTGGTCTTCAGCCCTCCTAGTCACATGATAATAAACTTACATCCTAATTGCAGTATTTTGCATTGTGTTCAATTTTAGAAGCAATTTTAATTCAAAATAGGCAGGATTTAAATCTCAAATTTTTGTTTATTAAATAATAACTGTGTACATTATTGCAACCATGGGGTACAGTGTGGTATTTTCATATACAATTTGAAATATTTTCATCAAACTGGTTAACATAGCCTTTATGTCATTTTCTTTTTTTTTTTTTTGAGACAGAGCCTCAAGCTGTCCCCCTGCATAGAGTGCCATGGCATTACAGCTCACAGCAACCTCCAACTCCTGGGCTCAAGCGAGTCTCCTGCCTCCGCCTCCCAAGTAGCTGGGACCACAGGCGCCCGCCACAACGCCCAGCTATTTTTTGGTTGCAGCCGTCATTGTTGTTTGGTGGGCCCGGGCTGGGGATTCGAACCTGCCACCTTAGGTGTATGTGGCTGGCGCCCTAGCCGGTTGAGCTATAGGCACCGAGCCTATGTCATTTTCTTAGTAAGATGCAAGTTAATTTATACTGTTTTTAATCCTCAGTTGAAATCTTATTTTTTTACCAACATCTAATTAGATCTCAACCTTGTTACCGTGATAGTGAATTTTCTAAGCTAGACTTCACTCGGCAGCCATTTACTGATGCCCACTAACTGCCACACACCTGCTCCTATAGGGCTTCTCGCTTTGCATTCGGGAGCAGTGGCTCAGGGCCACAGCGCAGTTTCCCGGGGACAGGGAGGCGGCTCAGGGCCTCCCCAATGTATTCCAGGGACAGGGAGGCTGCAACAGTCACCACTCTGCTTGCCTTTTTAGACTGTATGTCTCCATCTGTTCTTATTTTTTTCTCTCAGGTAATCTGTTTTTGAGACAGAATCTCTCTTTGTCACCCTTGGTAGAGTGCCATGGCATCATAGCTCTTAGCAACCTCAAACTCCTGGGTTCAAGAGATTCTCTTGCCTCAGCCTCCGAGTAACTGAGACAACAGATGCTCACCACAACACCTGGCTGTTTTTAAAGACTGGGTCTTGCTCTTGCCGATGCTGGTCTCAAACTCCTGACCTGAAGCAATCCACCTGCCTCAGCCTCCCAGAGTGCTGGGATCACAGGCGTGAGCTCCCAGCCCTGAGTTATTCTTTTTGTAACTTCACCAGAGCTCTTACTGTTTTTGTCCTCGGCCACATCTCACGTTCTAACGCCTCTCCTCTTCTAATCCAGCTTTTCTTCCACGTAACTCTTTCCTGCCCCTTTTCCTTCATGTCACTTCTTCAGCACAGAAGAGTGAAGGGTGTGTAGGCCAGTGCTCAGGACTTGGCCTCTGAATGCATGTGCCCTAAATTTAAACCTCAGCTGTACCACTTACCGGACATGTGACTTTAGGCAAGTCAGTTAACCTCTTCAGGCCTACGTTTTCTCATTTGTTTAAAAAAAAAATAGGATAATAAAAATCGGAGCTAACTTACTGGCTCATTATGAAGGCTAAATGAAATAATGCCTAAGTAATGACTGTCAGAGTACTCATACATTCAGTTAATGTCAGCTGCTATGCTTATTGTTTCCAAACCTAGGAAAACACGGAAATAATCTGGTGTGAACACACAGCTTGATTTCCTTATAATGTATTCATGCAAATAAAGTAAGAGGCTCATGTGGGCACCTGAATATGTGGTCCTCCACTCTTGTTGAAACCATTTTTTAATTAAATTTATCTGTACATAATTTTCATTCATAGAACTTGGTTTAGCTTATTCCTAGTTTTTCATGGGTCTATTTTTAATTTTTTAAATTACTATTAAAACAGAATAATATGTTTTTTAGATTTTATACCTGTTTTAAATAACACAAAGGACAGATTCTTTATTATATGTGCTATTATTTACAGTATTCTATAAATGAGTACACAGTTCATATGAAAATATGCACAAATGTAGATAGTAAATTGGTAATTTACATTATTGTATTATAATAAGGACACTAACTCATTTGTGTTACGAAACTTACTGGAATATTGGGAATACAATATAAAATAAAATGCTGGAGAAGTACACAATGCATGTTAAATACCATTTACAGTGTTTTTGGAAAACAAAAATTATGACTGAGATGTAAAATCACTGGCGACAAGAAATTAAGAAGGAATCACATGCATCTCATGGCAGCTTCATGGCACACGGTGAAGCAGAGAGAGACTTAACTGGGCACCGTAAGACGAGGAGGGTCAAGTCTATGAAGATAATTTTGCATGTATCTTCTCAAAGAAAATGTGGAAGCTGATGTTAAGTTAAAGATACATCTAATTTGATAGAAATCATTTGCTTTCTTAAAATAATAACAGTAGCAGCTAATAGTTTACATTGATTAATTCATTTATTTCTCTCAGCAACCCAAAGAAATAAAATACTACCAGTATGTTTCACCATCTTCAGATGAAGGATTTGAAGCACAATAAAGTCAAGTCACCGGCCCAAGGTCATACAGCTTATAAGTGGCAGAGGCTGTGTACCTATCCAGACAGCCAGAGTCTAGAGCACTTACTCTTTTTTTTTTTTTTTGAGACAGAGTCTCTGTTGCCCTGGATAGAGTGCCATGGTGTCTGCCGTGGCATCATAGCTCACAGCAACCTCAAACTTTTGGGGTCAAGCAGTCCTCTTGCCTCAGCCTCCCAAGTAACTGGGACTGTAGGTGCCCACCACCATGCCTGGCTAGTTTTTCTGTTTTTAGTAGAGATAGGGTCTTGCTCTTGCTGAGGCTGGTCTTGAACTCCTGAGCTCAAGCAACTCACCCCCTTGGCCTCCCAGAGTGCTAGGATTTCAGATGTGAGCCACTGTGCCCAGCAAGCCCGTACTGTTAAACTACCCTAAACTGACTACAGATATCTCCGTAATCTAATATGAGTAGCATCACAGGTTGATCTTTCTATACGTTACTGACAATCCTGCATGATGTGTAACTGCATATGATTCTTAAACTATATTGATTTGGTTTTGTAGTGAGAGGTATTGAGTAGCTTAGTCGATGTGCTCCTTCCTTTTTCTAAGGAGTGTATGTTATGTGCAAGTTCCCTCATATTTTTCAGGTGGATGCTGTACTTTTCTGATAGATTTAGTTGCCATCTGGAGTGCGCTATACTGAATTAGTTGATTCTCCCGTAGAATATGTGGGCCTCTGCTCGCAAAGGTCGCTTAAACAACACTGGCAAAATACAAACCATAATTAAACCAATAGCAAAATACAACTTAGTCCCTGTGTACACATTTCCAAACAGTTTCTGTTTGCCGAAACTGAACCAAGGAAATTCCCAATCCTTAGATTCTGTCAGCTTTCCCATGTGAGGCTAAAATAGAACGTGTTACAAAGAACTTCCACACTGGTGTAATCACTCAGATTTAGGAACTCATCTCATTTTCCGGTGGCTGTTACCACAAACGCTTTGTTTGGCCTTTTTAGCTTGGTGTGCTATACTGTGATTAGTTTGTTTTGTGAAATCACATTCTCTTTTTCCCCGAGGCTCTGTATAAAATATCTTTTCAGAAGTGTGTCTTATTTGGTGGATTTCCCCACAGATTCATTGGCGACATCTGGTGTCTCTTTGTGCTCTGTCTTTCCTGTTTCATTAATGTCTAATCAGAGATTAATTTCAAAAAGACCTTTAAATCGTAAACCCCAAAGCACTATATTTTAGTTATCACTGGCACAGTTGATACTAATTAACCCATAAATAAAGGAAGAATCTTTCTGTTCTAGAATGATTTTATCTTATATATTATGTAAATAATATATAAGAAAACAAATCAGTAAACAAAATTTGGATTTTTTAATAGTCTTTTTTAGTGACTATAGCTCAGCTATACTGTATATATTCTGCAGTATTGGAATTACATAATACAATTGTTGGCAATAAATACTATGCTATATAATGATTCTAAATATTCAAATAATTTGTTAGGGTGTCATTAAAATGTGATTTTATAAGTATATTTCAAGCCAACCTGAGGGTAAAGAAAACCTCTTTAAGGTAATATCGAAAATAATCATGGAATACAGTATTTCTGTTTACTTGTTCCTCTTTGTTCTTTATCTTTGCAGGGCTATGTTTGAAGTAAACATGAAAGAAAGAGATGATGGAAGTGTAACTATTACAAATTTATCCTCCAAAGCAGTAAAAGCGTTTCTTGATTATGCCTATACTGGAAAAACAAAAATAACAGATGATAATGTGGAAATGTTCTTCCAGTTGTCATCATTTCTTCAAGTCTCCTTCCTATCCAAAGCTTGCAGTGACTTTTTAATAAAAAGTCTTAATCTTGTCAATTGTCTACAGTTATTATCTCTCTCAGACAGCTACGGCTCTGCCAGTCTGTTTGAGCACGCATTATACTTTGTACAGCACCACTTTTCTCTATTATTTAAATCGAGTGATTTCTTAGAGGTGAATTTTGGAGTTCTACAAAAATGTCTAGAATCAGATGAGTTAAATGTTCCCGAAGAAGAAACAGTACTGAAAGTTGTCCTTAGTTGGACTAAACATAATGTAGAATCAAGGCAAAAATACCTGCCTCACTTGATTAAAAAGGTCCGATTGCATCAGTTATCTGAGGAGACGCTCCAGGACTGTCTGTTCAATGAAGAATGTTTGCTGAAGAGCACAGACTGCTTCGATCTGATCATGGAGGCACTTACGTGTGTACAAGGCTCTGGTGGACTCTTCCCTGACGCTCGACCTTCCACAACTGAAAAATACATATTCATTCACAAAACCGAGGAAAGCGGAGAAAATCAATACACATTTTGCTATAATATTAAAACTGACTCGTGGAAAATACTGCCGCAGTCACACCTCGTTGATCTGCCGGGATCTAGTCTTTCTAGTTACGGAGAGAAAATATTCCTGACAGGCGGCTGCAAAGGGAAGTGCTGTAGAACAGTCCGGCTCCACATTGCTGAGTCTTACCATGACGCCACCGATCAGACCTGGTGCTACTGTCCCGTCAAAAATGATTTTTTCTTGGTATCAACTATGAAAACACCAAGAACCATGCATACGTCCGTGATGGCTCTCAACAAATTATTTGTCATAGGTGGGAAGACCAAAGGATCTCGGGACATTAAAAGTCTCTTAGACGTTGAATCTTATGACCCTCTTTCCAAAGAATGGGCGTCCGTTAGCCCGTTGCCCAGAGGCATATACTATCCAGAAGCGAGTGCATGCCAAAATGTAATCTATGTCCTTGGGTCAGAGGTGGAGATTACAGATGCCTTTAACCCATCGCTTGATTGCTTTTTTAAGTATAACGCTACTACTGATCAGTGGTCTGAACTAGTAGCAGAGTTCGGGCAGTTTTTTCATGCAACGCTAATTAAAGCTGTCCCGGTAAACTGCACACTCTATATATGTGACCTTTCTACCTATAAGGTTTATAGTTTTTGTCCAGATACTTGCGTTTGGAAAGGTGAAGGATCTTTTGAATGTGCAGGCTTCAATGCAGGTGCAGTTGGGATTGAAGATAAAATTTATATATTAGGTGGTGATTATGCACCAGATGAAATCACAGATGAAGTCCAGGTCTACCACAGCAGTAGGTCTGAATGGGAAGAAGTGTCGCCGATGCCCAGAGCCTTAACTGAATTTTACTGCCAGGTGATTCAGTTTAATAAATACAGAGACCCATGGTTTTCTAATCATTTGTAAAAGTAACGTGTACTTGGACATTCTAAAACCATCTCAGTTATAGTAACCTACAGTAAATTTGTTAACCGTGATGATGAGTAAAAAGATATTCACATCTTAATGAAATGACATGTTATTGCCATCAGACCACTAATATGTATGTACATATATGAATAAACATTTCCCTGAAACTTAAAGTACAAAATACATTTTACCAAAAATCGTACTGAATGTAATCTGATCTTGGAGAATCCAGAATACTTGGTATTTTCATATGTAAATAAGTCATAGATTCTGACACTTTGATTTTTAAAGTACTTTATCCATGAAAGACTAGCAAAAATAAATTAAAGTTCACAGATTTGTACTATTTGGACATGAGAAATCTCTTGAGGGAGCAAAATGAATTACTGACACAGTCTATGAAGTAAAAGATAAACTAGAAAGAGGTGAGAATCTTCTTACCGTAGGAGGAAGAGTGGTTGAATTTCTGTCATTCCTGATTAGCGGTTACCTTCTTGTACCCTAAAGGGGTCAGACATTTTTCTATGCAGTCTATTTCCTCAGCCTTCTAAACAGTGCACTAAACGTAGTTTAACTTTTTTTATAATTCATCTCTTCATTGCAAGTACAGTGTACCATGTTATGTCATCAATAGTTACGTAAATGGCTTTAAAATTGCTGATTCTAATTAGTTTTCAGTGTCAATCGGTTCCAGGTTCTAGCAATATTAGCTCTTATTGTCTATGTTAACATTCCTTTTTTTAAAATTTCAGATGTAATGTGGGGGCACAAACAGATTCATAGTTTGCGTTTGTAAGGATAAAGTCCAGTGTGCAGCTACGTCCCACACCAAGGCAGTGTGATATCTACCCGTGTAGTGTGTCCATGGGTGGGAATTTACCCAACTGCTTCTCCCTTCCCCCCCCACCCCACGTTTGAATTTCATTGAGTTTTTCTCTCATGTGAGCATGCTAGTATTAATCTACTAGTTCCAACTTAGTACTGGGTACATGTGATTTTGTTTTTCCCTTCTCGTGAGACTTAGGAGATGTATAAATTAACATTCTTGATTTAGTTGGTAGTTCTAAGTCACCCCTGGCCTGAGCTTACCTTGACATGTCCCCCAGGGAGTGAAGCTCTTGGATTCCGGCATGGGAGCCCTGACATGCTTTTCATGTCTCATGACCAGGTTTAGATCAGCACCGTATCCATGCTCTGTACTGATGATGGTGACTGTAAGCACCATGTCGGCTTACTACACAGGGAAGTTACTCTCAGTGGATTACTTTCTAAATTCAAAAAAAAATGACAAAACTTCTAATAACAGTAATATTCACAACGGGCATCTATTTAGAAGTGTAATCTTGGACCCAAATGATGAAAGAGTATCAGTTATCATTGTTCTCAGATAGATGATTTTGCCTTGCAGGAGTGGATGTTTCTTAAATCAGCATAAAAGATAAAGGCATTTTAGGTTTTAGGAACCCTGATTTACATCTCCAGCAATGTGCAGGCTGGATTTCTCTGGAACCAAGAGTAGATTTTTACACTCTGTAGTAAATGTTAATCTGCTTTAAATGTACATACTCTTTAGAAGCGTGTCCCTAAGTGGAAAGACATTTAAATGAAGGTCCTTTTCTTTTACCATAAACATTTAGAAAATCAAAAATTTCAAACATATTTTTCAAATTAAACAGAATATTAAATTTTCATGCAGTTCCAAAATCTATTTCTGATTAGATGACAAGTACATAAAAAGTATTCTGTCAGATTGGTGGCCTTTCTGTATAAGCATATGAGTAGATGGTTCTGCCCTTTTCTCTGTATAGGAACAAAGAAAATACCATGGAGGCTTGTGTGTGTGTGTGTGTGTGTGTATGGCTTTGAAAACAAATTATTTGGCTCGGCGCCTGTGGCTCAAGCAGCTAAGGCGCCAGCCACATACACCTAAGGTGGCGGGTTCGAATCCCCAGCCCGGGCCCACCAAACAACAATGATGGCTGCAACCAAAAAATGGCCAGGTGTTGTAGCGGGCGCCTGTGATCCCAGCTACTTGGGAGGCTGAGGCAGGAGACTCGCTTGAGCCCAGGAGTTGGAGGTTGCTGTGAGCGTGATGCCATGGCACTCTACCCAGGGGGACAGCTTGAGGCTCCGTCTCAAAAAAAAAAAAAAAACAAATTATTTAAGAAAGATCATAACACAGTGAGTGACCTATATGTTGATATACTAAACTGTTAATTTAAGAATATATAGAGTATATTTAAAATAAATATTATTTTAATCATTGATGCTAGGAATTGTTCATCTCTTCCAGAAAGGAGATCAGATATTTACATTACAATTCATAAGAGTACCAAAATTACAGTTATGAAGTAGCAACGAAAATAATTTTATAGTTGGGGGTCACCACAACATGAGGAACTGTATTAAAGGGTCACGGCATTAGGAAGGTTGAGAACCACTGAACTAAAGCAAAATTGAATCCCTTCTGGATATTGTTACATTATCGTATCATCTTCATTTCCACCATTGTTCTCATTGGCCATTGGCTGTGATAATATTCTAGAAATGTCCTTGTTAGCTCCCACTGCATTTGATTTAATGTTTTCTAATGCAGAAGGTTTTCTGTCTCAGAGTCTGCAGTTGCTGTGGGTTATTTTTTAATCATTCTCACTTCTTGCCATCCCTTTACATCTGTACCTTTGTGCTTTCCTCCAGTTATCACCGCAAGAAAAAATACGTGTAATCAGAAGACCTCAGACTCTTCCTTTAGTTACTGTTCCTTCTCCTGTTCACTAGAGCAATCTGTGCTGGGCTATAATTGGTCTCCTCTCCAATTTTGCATCTCTTTGTAAAGGTAACACTTTTACAAGTAAATAATTAAAAGTAGATCCCTTTGCCTTATTGAAAAATAGTTCTTTGTTGTCAGATCTTCAAGGAACCCAACCACACGGGGTCAGTGACCAAACTGGTATATCCTTTGCTCTTGCCATTCCTTGTGGTTTCCTGTCTAAGAGCCGTATATACTGTTCTGGCCTCACCCTCCATTCTGGGTGTCTGAAGTGTAAATCTTAGTGATCCCTCAAGTCAGTTCTCAGTACTTTCAGGAGGAATTATTTTTCCCGTCTGTAAGTTTAGGTAAGAGAAAATAACAATTCCTTATGGCTTCTTCCTGTGCTCTTTGGTTTCTTGAGTCTGTTTTCCTTTCATTATATCCTTCAGCCACTGCTACGGTGAAAGAGACAAAATAATTGTACTCGTTATCCAGATCGCTGTCATTGCTGCGGAATAATTCTATTAAACTTCCAAATCCATTCTCGTTTATCTTGCTCCACTACATTTGGATGATGCATGCAAAAATATTTTAGTATTGTAATGTCTTCTAAAATTGAAAGTAGGCGTATGCATTATTAAATATAAAAACAATTAACGTGAGATCTATTTAAGGTTAATGGGCATTTCTAGAGGAGTCTTTAAACTTGAATTAAAATATGGAACACCTTTCGTTCATCTGGAGCCTTTGAAACTAAGTAGTAAGAGGACTAGTTGCGTAATCCAAATGAACTACATTCCCGCAGTACTCACCTCTGGTCTTCGGTGTAAAAGAGTTCTTTATCCCGGCAATGTTCATTGCATTCTTCCCCTGAAGGGTTGATCGTGATGTGAGGGCAACCATGAGCTGCAAGGAGAGCTCATTCTTCCCAGACGCCCAGAAGAGGCCCTGGGTGTGCAGTCAGGGTGCGCAGCTCAAGGTGCCCATCTGAAAATCAGCATCGAGCAGAGAGGGGGGAATCTATTTACATTGTGGGATTTGAAAGCAATAAATATTGTGATGATTAATTATGTAGTTGCTATAGTTGAACATATATTGTTATTATTAAGGTCATCATTCTCAGTTTAATTGGGTCCAGTGTTATGGAAACTCTTCTTATATTAGAATTGAAAGTATGAGACTCAGAAATGTTATCCTGGGGGGCAGCTAGAGGACAACCTAAACCAAAAGCTCAAATTGACAGGAGCGCAGGTTTCTGTTCAGTGTAAGAAACTTTCCTTCACTTATAACATCATACCTGAGAAGGAGACAAGATCAAAGATGGTGGCATGTGGCAGATCATTCCAATCATTTCCTACACAGAACTGCATGACCAAAGATTTTTACATTCTATTTACACATCTCAATCTCAGTAGTTTCTGATGTATGGCTAAATGCTTCTCTGACTTATTTAGCATGTTGAGGCCTTCTAAGTAACTTGATTTCGATGGTTCTGCATTCGCAAGCTATTTCAATAGGGATTGAGACTTACAACTACACCATTTTAGGAGCATTTTCATTGAAGGAAATTTTTTCTTTTTCTAAAAGCACTCAGGAAAAGTCTATAAATGCTGATATTTACAGTGGGCTGCTCTTTAGGATTTTTTCTTCAATTTGCCATAGCTGCATGTTTGTTTTATAATGAATAGGAACTAAAAGACCAGTACTTAAATTTTCTCCTGAATCATTGTTCTTATTTCTCTATCAATGTTTTTATATAGCCAAATGTAGTGATCTTGGTTAAATATTGTATAATGTGAGTGACTATTTTTATATCTTAAATATCTAGATTTGTTTATAAATTATATTTGATGACTATGATGCTTAATCAAATGTCAGAATTTAATCACAGAATGATACTATTAGACATTTATTAAAAGATAACTCTTCTAAATGATAGACTCATATTCAAATTTGAAAATAAACTTGG